AAATATATATATATAAATGCACAGTATCACTTTTAATGTGTTTTCATTTGGAAAATATTCTGTTTTTTTACCAGAATGAGGAAAAAAGGAAGAAGTTCCCTGTGGCCTGTGAAGATTTATTTCCTCCATCCTGTTTTTCAGTCTGGATTTGCCATCTCGGGAACTGTAGCAGGGTGGAAACCTAAATTGTAGGAAGTCTCCCTCACTCTATTGTCTGAATAAGAGTTATGATTTATCACGCACGGAGGAAGTGAGTTGTTCCAGCAGCTGACCAACTTCCCTCACAGAGAAGAGCTAAAGGATGTGGCAAAGCTGGTGGAGCGTTTATGGAAGTGGGTTGGAAGGAGTGACACCGTTTTCCTCTTCTAATTAATATTGGGTCACCCAGCTTCTGATTTACCAAAGATTATTGTGAAGATAATACAGCTCAGAATGTGGGTCAGTGAGTGAGGGGACTTCAACACAAAGACTATCTGTTCTAAAGCATCAGAACACCTCAAGCCACTTGACCCGATTCACATTTCATCACACTAATGTATATATATTATTTTAACAAAAGCAACAAATGTAGCCATTTCAGCTCCTTAACATTGAAGCTATGTGTTTTCACGTGCACTCCTCTGCTCTTATTGATTCTGCTGAGAAATTGCATGTTATATACCTACAGCTCAGGGAACAAAGGACTACCTGCAGTGTGTGTGCTTGCACGTGTGTGTTTTGACAGAACACTATTGATTTACAACCCAAACAAAGGAGGAATGAAAATCATATCCAATGCAGCACAATAAAACCAAAAATGAAACAAATCCACATCTTATCACACACAAACATGCACATTTCTCGTGGAATTTATAAATCTTTGTTCGGATGCATAAGCCATTAATAACTACCAGATATAATCTGAGTCCATGATTTGTTGAAACATATGCATGCAGCAGTGGTTTGGTGGGCTATCTTGCCGTTTCTCTAATCACCATAATAGTATGAGCACTCCTCCCCGGGCTCTGTCTCCATGGTCACCGCTCACACATGACAAACACACAATGAGGAGGCTAACACATGCATCTGCACATGCTCCAGTGCCTGCCACTCTTGCACACTTCCGCACATTCTTGTCCTCTGAATGAGCACAAATTGCTGATCTTATTTACTATCTTATGAATAATGTATGCTGTGGTAATTGCATTAAAGTCTGCACTTCACTCAGTGCTGTCTTTACAGTGAAACAAGTTATGAAACTAAAAGCCATTGAATTTCTCAAATTTAAGATCCTTACAATTGAGGACTTTTCAGTATATTTGACATAAAAAAAGGTTCACTTCGGGCAAGTTTTACAACTTGCGTTTATTAATTATGTGATAACAACATGCTTATTATGGTAATCTTAACTTCATCTGACAGAATTATACAGATTAAAGACACACTATAACCTTTAATTTTGTTTTATTAATAAGGAGTTGAGTTTATGTGCCGGGCAGCTGTTCAGTCAGTGATCATGTCTGGCTCATCTCACCGTCTCCTCCATCTCCCTCTCCTCAGGCTCCTCCCTCCCTCTGAACCATATCAGTCTCCTCTTATTCCACCTCCTCCTCCTGTCTGTCTCTTCAGGTGCTGCTTTCATCTCCTGCTCTAGTATTGACTCCACAGGACTATATGTGGATACACGATGTGCTCTGTGAGCTTAAGGTTATAAGACAAATAGCAATGATTCGCCATACTCACAATTTCAAAAATGCAAAAAAAAAAAAAAATACAAAAACAACTGCTTTTCTTGAATCAGTTCCACATCCAGGTATATTACAATAAACAAAAATTACCAAAGTTGATAAATGAAAAAAACTTTCACTCAACTTTGTTCTTGTAAATCCTTCTCCGCATCTGATTGGCTCATTTTTGGGGCAGGTATGAATCAGAAGAAATTTGACAAATCTGACATGAGAAAACAAAATACAAGGGCAGTATGTACATGGTTTAAACTAATGAAGCTAGACGTCAAAACTCGTCGTCAATTCAAGGCCGAACGGGGAAGCCAAATTTAGATAACATGATTATTTTGGGTCAGGCAGCCTCTTCTTGCATTTCCATGTCTGTCTACATAGTTCTTCTGGTACGTCTCACTGGCAACTCCAAACAACCAAATATTGTGGACACACCGCCGGATCGAGCTTGTAGCCTTCTCCAGGGTTGATTCCTTCCCATCAGTGAGTCCCAGGAGCTGCAAGTGGCCTGCAATTCTCAGACATCACATTCAGCTTATGGCTATATCCTCAAAGGACAATACAGACAGACACACCATCTTCCACGGACCACGGGAATCCATAGTATATCCAGCTGCGTGTGTCCCTTCAGGGCATGAGGGCTCTCCTTCACCCTGTCTTCTTGTCGAGAAACTTTTGTCAATTGCATTGAGAGACCAGCTGACCAGATCCATAATTTACAATTCGGAGGATATGTAGCAAGAGGCTCTGATAGGAATCACAAGACAAAGAGCAAAGCAGGAGGGAGGCAGGAGCAGGAGGAAAATCGTCTGCCCTCAATGAGAGCAAGCAGGAAAAATAATAGGTATATAATAGATACAATAAAACAGGTAAAATAATAGGTACCTAAGATAATAGGTAAAATAAAAGGAAACCCTGCAAGATTTTATATTGATTTATTCACAGTGGGAATTCCTTAACCTTTAAACTTAAAAAAAATGAAATGCTCAAAATCTGAAGAAGCAAAAGGCAATGTGACAAAAACAAGAACAAGAAGAATCCTTACATATTTGGAACAAGGTGCATTAAAATTTTGTTTACACATTTAGTGCATATTTTGAATACGCATTGACAACCTTCAGCATGGCTCAGAAGAATTTGTGGGATAAAAATAATAAATTCATTTTTGACATTTTCTCAATTTGACATCAAATCCTGACTGTTTATCCTATCTGTGTTAGGGGGACCAGCAGGACCTCATGTGAAGAGACCCCCTCCCAGTCCCCCAGAGACAGCATGGCAACCTCTTCTTCAGGTCACGTATACAAAAGATTGCTGCAGTGTCCCATGTGCAGTATCCACACTTTTTATATGACAAACTGCACAACCAGTTTAAGTGCTGTTTTTTTACTCATATGAGACCCCAAATCACATTATTGTTTTATTACAACTGTTGATTTGCAGAAATTGTGCATTTTTAATATTTTGTGACACTATTCAATTTTGACCCTTTTTGTTATCCAACATTTATCCATCAAATTTGTTGTATTTAAGTGATTAATAGTGCCATCTACATTTGAATCATTCCTAAAGTGCTTCACAAAACCCAGCTTACCCCAGTAGTGAACTGGAAAACATCATATAAATGATTACATCGTGTTTTTTGTCCTGCAATGTCTGCAAAGCATTTCCCTCAGAATTTACTGTTATATCTGAACACTGTGGTGGTGATAATATAGGAAAACGACAACTATTTCCTTTCCGACATACAAATCACTATTTTTATTTTTAATCCCACACAACAGAACAGTGCTAAACCTTCTCTCTTTTTATCTTAAAGAAAACACCTTTTGCAGACTTTTCTTTCTCAGACTTCATCCCGCTCTAATAAAATAGGAGATGAAACCACAATAAAAACAGTTACATTTGTTTTACCAATATCTCCAGGTGAAACAGTGTATGAACAGATCTTGTTTGTGTTATCAACAAGGAGCTGAAGGCAGAGCAGCTGTTCAGTCAGTGATCATCGGTGCAGTGTCTAAGGTGGTGTCCGGCTCAGCCTCACCATCTATCTCCTCCATCTCCCTCTCCACAGGCTCCACCCCCCATTTAAACCATGTCAGCTTCCTCTCTTTCCATCCTTTCCTCCTGTCTGTGTCTTCAGCTGCTGTGGTCTGTTCCCGCCCCGGCATGGCCTGGATACCCTCTCTTTCTTCAGGACCGAGGACATGGACTGTGTCTGGGTCAGCCAACCCCTCTCTGCTCCTTCCTGTCCCCTCATCAAAGGCTGAAAATGTGCTTTGTGAGTTGGACCTCTCTGTCGCACAAAGCGTTGTCAGGCCTTGGTTGCTGTTTCGCTCCAGTGGACTTTTGAACTTGGTCTTTTTTTTCTTGCTCAGGATGAAGTTGAAAAAGGCTGTCATCAGAAGCATTGAACCTGCAGACAGACACATGCTCAGGAGTTTCAATATAATTATTCCCCAGCAGAACAATTCAGTAAAAACACATACAAATTTAATGACGACCAAGTTTCAGGCCTCCAGTTTCAGGGGCCTCATGTTTTGTTGAAATGTGACACCATAACAGTAATTATTTTAATACTAATTAATTACAGACAGTGATACTTTACCTGGAATAACTGCATGCCACACCAACACGGGGTGCAGGAAGCAAACTACAGACATGATGGAGTAATAGAGGAATTTATGGAAACCACCAACACGAGCCATCTTCCCCCACAAGACAAACACCTGCCAGTTTGGAGGACATCTATAGAAATAAAGAGATACATGAAAAATACACCCCTTTATTAAGTGAATTAGAAGCTCCTATATGTTTCAGGAAATCAGAGAAAAAAGGAAACAACAGATTTTATTAATTTTTCATAGTGTGTTGCAAAATAATGTCTGTTTTTAATTTCTTTTCACCTGAGGAAGAGAAAGTTACCAATTCAACGAAGGTTGTTTAAAGCAGGGGTTCCCAAACTTTTTCATGCCATGGCCCCCCAAACAGAATTAGCTTCTGAGCGAGCCCCACCCCCGCAAACTACCAAACAATGCAAAATATGCAAAGAAACGTCAACTTTTAGACTATTTTAACTTTTATTCACTATATTTAATTAATTATTACAGCTGCTGAGCATAAAAATATTAACTACCGGTAACATGTTTTAAACATTTTATTACATTCCTATGGAAAAGAACAACTTTTCAACAAACTGTTGACCAGAAGAACAAAACAAAACAAAAAATCTAATCTCTCTCAAGCGTGTTTATCTGGAAATGACAGATACAGATTGCACTAGTGTGCAATTTTTATTATTATTGTAGAGGAAAGGGTCCTCAGATCATATTAGTAATTTTATTCTGAAGGGGCACCACTTGCTTTCCGGTTCTTAAGCAAGAAAATTATTAAATCAGACTCAAGTTTTGTGCTCTAGTGAGTTCTTTTCGTATTAAATTCAAATGTCATATATAATAAAAACGCTTTGAGTCAAAGTACAATTTTGTGAGATTTATTATAGATTTTGATGAATATAAGTGGTCAAAAAAATTAAGTACAGCTGGAGCATGAATAATGGCTTTCATTTGACAACACAAGATAAGGTTAGATAATTATCTTCTAACTTTATTATGGTGAATTATGAGGTTTAAAAGCAGAGTAAATTATCATCTATAAAGTCAACTAAATGAAGTAGGCAGATGTAATCTGTCAATTTAGGAAAACTCAATTCTAATTAATAATGATGAATTTTTTTAGACTGGACAACTTCTTATCTTGGGCATCAGACACCAGCAGAGAGACGGAGCAGTTTTTCCTACCAATCGGAGGTTATAATTCAACCGCCGAGGGTTACCAGGACTCTCTTGAGATGAGTTATAGCGCCGAAGGTGGTATATCCCTCGACACTGGACATCAGATGAAAATTAGAGTGCTCGTTATCTGGCTCCCGATGGGTCAGTTGAGAAGCTCCCGGAGGGCTGCGTTTTCTCCTTCTGGTGACAAGGATCTTCTGGCATAAGTTTTCCATTGTTTGACCTTTCTTCTTCAAAAGCTTCTCCCAGACTGCTCTAAGCCAAACGTCAGAATAACTTTCTTTGACTTAGAGGGCGTTACAATATTGATGGTCAAGCCAATCACAACATAAGGGTGGACCTTTGTTTCAAATTACTTTTTGAACTTTAATAACCTTAATTAAAAAAAAAAGGCTAATTTACTCTGCTTTGGTAAATTCTCAATATAACAGGATAATCAAAACTTCTAAGCAGTTTTTACTCATCCATAAACATTTTCATTAGAACTTATGCAAGCACAGTTGAAACCTCTGATTACCATTTTTACATCAAAACATTCAATTGTATTCAGAAGAACTCAGAAATTTAAATTGTTCAGAAAATTGACTTCTACTGTGGGATGGCAAAAGGGTCCTTGAGAACAATGGGGTCTTTCTCACACTTTAAGACTGCAGGACGAATCCTCCCTTTCACGAAGAGATATGCATACGCTTCAGATGTTATATTTCAAAGGTCAGATGGAAAGGTTCTCATGCAAAGGGCCTTTAAGCTTTGCTGAAATCATAATAACAGGTGTGCAATTAATTACAACAACAGATTTTGGTTATTCATTTTTTTTTTTTGTAACATGGTTCCTTACTGTCCAGCTTTGGAAATGAGAGTCAGTCTTACTTTCAAAGTATCAAAAGAAATAAAAGTTGATGGTAGAAAAACCTTGATGTGTCCCTACATTATTATTACTATTTGTATTTTTGCTTTTTTAAATCTTCTTTTCTCCAGCTTTCTGAGGCCACCCCCCATAGCATCCCTATAACGGCCCCCCACTTTGAAAAACACGGGTTTAAGGAACACCTTTACATGTGGAAAATTCAGTCTTTCTTGTATGCTTTCTGTTCAATGGGTTTTGAAAGTTTATATCAAAGCAAACATTTTCCTTAGGTTGCATACTCACGGAAGACACATGGATAGAAGAGCATCCAGGAAGTAGGCTAGCTCAAACATCATGATGCCAGCAGAAGACGTTCTGTAGGTTGGAGAGATATTTAAGAGACGTGTTAAACAGAGTTTCACTGATATAATCAGTTTTTATTCTATATAAACTGCACCTAAGTGGGTCAGTTAAAAAAAAAAAAAGAAAAGACCACTTTCTATGTGTGTATGGGATGTGTGTGTGTGCTGACAAAATAAACAGTGTAGTCTCCTTGGAGACATGTGATGCTTTGTGGGAGTTTGCCTGTGACAGAAATATATTAAAAAAGTGGAGGAGGGCTGCTCTCGTTTCCCCTCTCTGCACCTCCCATCATCTTTGTCACCCCTTTTCATCTCCCTGCAAGTGTTTTTCTAAGTGGCAGATTATAAAAGCAGCAAGAGGAACTGGTTTCTAAAAGCACACATTTATTCTTTGTTGTGCCATTTGTAGAACAAAAATACCACAGTGTTTTTTTTTTTCCTTCAATTATGTCAGAGTCAGGCTTTGAAAGATTTAAATTCTGGCAATATTGGAAACCACAAAGAGGCTCATGATCTAAATACTTACATCAGGTAGATGCCAAGGCTGTTGAATTCCCCCTGCTGTACAGTCTCCACTCCCACAGCACACAGCACTAAAACACAGGCAGAAATATAATTTATCTACATTGTTGGAGCAGATTCTGCCCACCAGATGTCAGGCTTTCATCATAGTTTTCTCATTAGCTTGCTGCTGGATTGTATTTTAATGTAAGCATAGCAAAGCTAGATAAATATTTTTAATATTTCCACTGTGGCAGAACTCGGCAATGCTCTGTGGGGGATTTTTTGTGTGTGGTTTGGGCGTTTATTATGTGCATTTGTCGTATTGCTTTATTGTGCAGCATTTTTTGAGGGTATGCGTTTTGTTTCTTTCGTAGCATAAAATTAATATTTTTGCCTCAATTTATCAATTAATTTAAGTTTTACGCTTAAGTGTTTTGTCTACTCCACTAAAAAAACAGTCCAACTCACTTCAAATGGCTAAAATGAAGCTAACCTAAAGTCATTTATGCACAAAGAGGTGGTGATGACCTTACAAAGAACAAAAGTCATATTTAGCATATTTAGAACAAGTTCCTAAAGCAAAAAAAAAAAAAAAAACTGACAAAACTTCAACACGTCGAGCAGTTCCAAAGACTTGGATCTGAGAACCTAATTAGTTTATTTTGCCTATTGCTGGCTCATGGACTTTTTCAGGAAATGCCAGGTGGTATGAGTTTGAAAGTTTTATAAGAACTCAAACTCCTAAAATTTTGTGCCAGCGAGTATCAGGAATGTTTGTCAAGTCTTGAATACACATACAAAAGACAAACTAAACAGATGCCTTACTCTTCTTAATTGGACCAAAGCATTTAAAGGCTGTGATTTGATTAAAAACAAAGGTTATCATGAATAAAAAAGATCGAATTCAGTTTGGAGACCCAGAAAAAAATACTTCTTGTTGATGTGATAAAGACTAAACTTAAAAAAGTGCAATTTAACAGCAAAAGAGTTTATGAAAGATATGCACTGTTTTTTGTTTTTTTTTATCTGGGCAGCAACAGTGGTGGATCCAATACATGACCTTCATAGAAGAAGATAAAACCCAGAAGAAAGTGTTTACTTTGTTCTAACCACAGAGCTCAGTGTCTGGAGTTTCTAAATTATGAATCAAAACAAACTTGATCTATTTCTAAAACTATTTCTGTAGAGTGGTGGATTGAAAACAGGATTCTAGCCACAATGAGCAAAGATAAGCAAAAAAATGCATTTCTGAGTTTTACGCCAAGAGCTTTTAAAACCTGTATTAAGGTCAGTGTTGGAGGAAACACTTTATTAAAAATTATGGTAAACATCAAATCAGTTGAACAATACGAATGAAAAGAAGATCCATCAGAAAGATCCTAAACCCACACGTCAAAATGAACACCTAAATCCTCAAGAGGTTAAAGTTGAAGGACTTTACAGATCTTTGACTTAACATCATGAGAACACAGTGGCGCATGTTGGCTCTCAAGTCTCATAAAACTTATTTTGCAGGAAGAATGAAGAAAATTGCTGTGAGGTTCATAGCTGGCAACAACAAAAACCTGTTTACGAGCTGTCATACTTGCCAAAGGTGTAGATATAAGTTTAATGACCATACAGGTGCCTAGATATTTTCTCAACACTTCAAATGAAAACAGTAACATAATAAAATAGAGGAAAATATCTTGGAACAATTACCCAGTGGTGTGGACTCGAGTCACATGACTTGGACTTGAGTCAGACTTGAGTCATTTATGACTTTAGACTTGACTCGGAAAAATGTTCAGACACTTTTGACATGACTTGGACTTTTATACCAATGACTTGGGACTTGACTTGAACTTTGACCTGTTTACTTGAAAAGACTTGATATTTTATCCATAATCTAAAGTTTAAAAACCGCTGTGAAGTTATAGTTGTAGGTTGGATATTCGAGCTCCGTGGATTCAGTGGTGTCTTCCTCACATTCAATCCAATGCCTGATTTTGGTCAGTCTGCCCCTCCTCCGAGGCCCAACGGTTCGCTTAGGGACCGTCAATAAATTACCGAACCAAACATTCTTGAGAAAATAAAAATGGCTTTCATGTAACGTGACCCACTGACACAAAAAAAATCAAGTTCAAGTAAAGTTAATTGTCATTACCATCACATGTGGTGCATGAGGTGGAACGAAATTATGTACACAGGTTCCAAAAATAGCAAAGTATAAAGTATAAAAAAAGAAACAGTAGATAAGGATCTAAGATATACGTTAAAACAAATGCCAAATGGGACGCTAAAAGATCTAAGATATACGCTAAACGCTAATAGTGTAAAACAATATGGCGTAACAAATAGCAGCCCGAACTGTCACTGGTGAGCAGATGGGTATGAATGAATACAGTAGCATGAAGTAATCAGCAGCATAAAATAATCAGCAGCATGAGCATCAAAACAGTCCAGCACTACAGCTAAGTCACTACCTGGATATTGCTGATGGACAGAACACCCTCTTGTTCTGGGCAATGAACATGCAGACTCTACCTTCACTGTTTCAAGTGGCCACCAGAGTTTTGGCAGCGCCTGCATGTAGAGCACCAGTGGGACGAGTTTTCAGCAATGGCAGCATTCTACGGCCTCATCGTGCACAAATGACTGACAGACTTTTGGCCACTTTAGGTTTTTGGAAATGCAGAAAAGCTAAATGAAATAACTTAAAGTGCACATTCCTGTTCATTGTTCAGTTCATACATTTGTTTTGTTTCTCTGTCACTCATACATGGACATATATAAACATATATTCAAAAAGTGACCAGATGAGAGGAAATAAACTTACTGTGATGGTTCTTTGTAATGTACAATGGAAATGTCCTTTTTGTTTGGACATGGAGTTCTGCTTTTGCATTTTTCACTGAATGTTTATTCTGGAAAATTATAGTTTAAAGGAAGACTGTTCTTGCAGCTAAGTTTAACTGAACAGTGCAATGTGAAGGTGCAATTTTAAAAAGACTTTTTAACCCCTTGTAAGTTCATTTGCACATGTTTCATCACGATTTGTGATAAATACAGATTTAAAAAAGAGCACATGGTCTATCATTTACATTTAATATATGATTGCAACATTGTTAAAAAAAAGACTTGAAAGGACTTGAAATTTCAACTTTCAGACTTGGGACTTGACACTTGCCTGTCTTGACTTGAGACTTGACTCTGACTTGAGGATAAAGACTTGAGACTTACTTGAGACTTGCAAAACACCGACTTGGTCCCACCTCTGCAATTACCTCTAAAGATTAGAAGGACGAAACATTGCAACAAAAAAAAAGAAACCGTCCAGATGACCTGACTAAACTTTGTTGGATTTGTTACCTGGATTATTGAGCATGAACTTTGATGTTTTGAACCACTTTGGCTATGGCTTCCTCAGAGGAGTTTACAGGGGAGAAGGTGGCCTCCAGAAACCATCTTATCACCAGCAAACTGGTTGGCCTACTATGTGAGCATGTTGCTTGTGGGACTGAGTTTGTTGTGGCTCCTCGGTCTGATGAAGTCCTTTGGATGAAGGACGAAACGTTTCAACAAAAAAAGAAACCGTCCAGATGACCTGACTTAACTTTGTTGGACTTTTTACCTGGATTATTGAGCATGGTCTTTGATACCTCTAAAGATTGTTCTTGTTGACCATTTTTGGATATTAATATTTATTTGCTTTGCTGTAAAGTGTTGTCATGGTGTTCTCATATCTTTGGATGTCACTTTATTCTCACACATAACTTTAATTTTTGACTCAAAAAGCTTGTTTAAAGTCAAAAAGAACATTTAAACCTGCATCTTTTCCCAGTTAGATAAACTTGGCTTTGCATTGTTCACTGTTGAACACATGGAAGCAATTTCTTTTGGCTGCAGCTCACCAGAAACACAGAGATACAATCTCCACTGGAGGGAAAACAAGGGGAATGTGGATTAATGGCTTCTTGTAAGTTTGAAAGTGTGAGAGGAATTAACGCTGCATGTAGCTCTACAGAAAATTAGCATACATGTGCTGCCTACGTACGTAGATAGATCTACGGACGTAGATGTCCATACAGGACAAACAGAGGCAAACACACAAACCCACACATGTGGACAGGTTGCATATATACAATAAACATACATAAAAACACACATGAACACAACACACAATGCTTTTGTGGGTGTAAATTTATACCAGCTTGTTCAGTTAAGCCCAATAACCCAGCTGGATACAGATACCAAGTACTGGTATGATGTCAGGCACATGTCCATAAGTTAATGCTCAGTGTCTGCAACTGTTTAAATCTAGGAATAAATGTCCCATATTTCTCAGAAAGCCAGCAACCGGAGAGCTTTTTTTCCCCATGTAGATTTAATGCGCTGTGGGTAATCGTTCCCCAAGAGCTTGAGAAAAGCAGAATAGGAAGGATAGTGATAGCTGTGCTATCAAGTACACTTTTAACAGCACTATAAATCAACAATAAGATGGTTTATAGTGTTCTGGTAGGTCAGGAATTCAGTATGTCTGGTCAAAACCTGATCTTTTAACATATTTGTTCAATAAAAATCTTCAAAACAATTATACATGGAGTATACTGTCCATCAGCAGAGTCAGGACAGGTTGCATTTCATCTTACCTATGACTGTAGAAACCCCAAGGATCCTGCATGTGCACTCAACTAAAGTCCACCACATGCTCTCTGAGTTCCCCATGATGTTCGATCTTGGATATTTTCCTCCCTCACTTAGGAAAACTGTGACCTTCTTTTGTGATCTTTAGTTTCCAAAGTAGTATCCTAAATGGATAATTGACACATAGTTGGATGGATGACATCCAAGAAAGTTGTGTAATCCATCCGTGCCATAATGTAGAACCTCTTGGACGGGACGAGTTTACTTCAAGAAGGCTTGTGACTTGCTGCTACTGTTGCTCCAGTAACTGCTAATCACTCACACACACACAAACACACAATACCACTTAGACGTTTTGCTTGGTACACTAAGGAAAACGTGTTGGGCTCAGGGTCACTTTTTGCAGCAGTCATATTTGTCGTTAAAGCTGGTTAAAAATTACCTATCAAACCTTAATATGAAACTCAAACACACATAAACTAAGTGATCAGTGATCTGAATAGTTATTCTCTTTTTAACCTCTATTTTACATTTTTGGGAAGTGGTTTAATTTAACCAAGCGACAAACACGTTGTTGTTCAAGTTTCCAAGTTCACATCATTCATTGGCGATCAGTTTTGCTAGACTCATTAAAAACAAACAGCTACAACCTGCATCAGCGTGCAAAAAGTGATTTCTGCAGGTTGGCAAAAACAAAATCCACTTAGTATGCAGTTTCATTTGATGCACCAATGGATCTGTGCATGTCAAGAACAATGAAACAGTATAGTGGATGTGGGATAAAGCAACACTTAGACTCCCTTTGACTCAGTTACACATGAATGAATACAAACCCGTATAATTGGATGACTTAAGTTTGGAAGAAGTGTAAGCTTGTTCAGACACAGCAGAAGGCTTTGAAAACAAGAATTTACAGTTGCAAAGTTCACAAACAACCCTTCCTCACACACACAGATTCACAGACTCCTGGAGGAGGCCAGAGTAAACTGTATAAATCTCTTTAAATCCCTAACAAAGATACTTTTGTGTTGTACCAGTTTTACTAATTTCTGGCTTAGTAGCAAAGTTGTTTGTAGCGTTTACTTCTGTGTAACTGTGCATGAACTGTGTGGCCATAACTAATAAATATGTCAAATCAAATAGAAAAACTCAGGATAAATATTGCAATTAATACTTTCATTTCTTAGATATAATTTAACATATATATTTTTTTATGAAATATCATCCTTACATTCATATTTTGCTGTGTAACTAAATTTAGTAATAGGATTGTGTTACCAGAAAGTTATATATACAGTGAACCCTCGTTTTTCACTGGGGTTACGTTCCAAAAAGAACCCGTGATAGGCGAAATCCGTGAAGTAGTAAGCTTTATTTTTTATTTTTTTACAATTTTTAGACAATGAAATACTCCATAATACATTCAAACCAATAAACAAAACCTTTTTACAGGCCCAAGCATTTGTTTAACAAATAAAAGTACTGTATAAACGTTTTTTACAAATAACTACTGTAACTACTGAGACTGTTTAGCCAATCAGAATGCAGAACACAATGCACGATGCAAATCCGTGAAGCAGCGAGACCGTGAAAGGTGAACCGCGTTATAGCGAGGGTTCACTGTACATAGTATATAACGTAATTTCTTGTCTATAGAACGCCCCGACTATAAGCTGCGTATACTAAAATGAAAATAAAACACAATTTTGTACATAAATAAGCGTGGGTGTCCACAATTTAATATCAGAAACTGTACACAGTTCCAGATAGAATGTGCAGCTCTTGTTGTAGTACAACAGTGATCTTCACTATTTGTTTTTCAAAAGAGCCATATTGACAGATCAAAGCCAAGGAGAGAGCTGCAAAATCACCCCAAGTCACTCAAATAAAAGAAAAAAAATTAGGCAACCCACCTATGAACAACAACAAAAAAACACAGCCAACACATTATCTGTTTAAACAAAATGTACCTTAGTACTGAGATGATTGGAAGCTGTGGTGCATGCAGAACCGGCCCTGCTTAGATGCTCCTTCCTTCATTGCAGATGACAGCAGGTGCGGAGACGCACGCGGCTGGTAGCTGGTAATCTGAGATTACAGGGCATTTTTTAACGTCTTTTGACAGTTAGCAGCCAGTGATGATCAGCTGATCCATTTTGAAGCTTAAAAAGGATAATTTTTTTTTTTTACCTCTACCGGCCGGTCGGACCTTCCTCCTCCTCAAAAAGTAGATTAACACAATATTATTCGTAAAACTACATGAAAGAAGCCCGAGCCGACATGCCCAATTATTACGCAATGCACCAGCACGTTTGAAAATGTGATTGGCTATGCTGGCTATTGTTGTAACCTGCACGAGAGCCACCAATAAAGCATGGGGAGCCGCGTGTGGCTCGGGAGCCGAGCAATGAGTATCCCTGTAGTACAAGAATCAACCACCAGATGGAGTTTCATAGACTAGAGGGGCATGTATTGGAAACATTAATCTCTGGTGTCTGAACCCCGCCCCCACCCCAACCTCTTATCCATCCACCTCCCTCCTGAAATAAATCCAGAACCTTTGATTGTGAGTTTATATTGCAATTATCATGATATGCCAGAGGGCGAAACAGCTTTAAGTAATTGCGAGATTGCCATCTTGTGAGATTGTAAATCTAATGTTACCGTTTAAATATGTTCCCATGTTTTGGTTTAGTCTGTGCAGCGACAAGAGGCACATCTCTCAACTTCGTTGACCACTTGACCTCACCACCTCCTCTCATGTGTTCACTCGCCGGTTCACACGTTCTCTCCGCCTGTAATCACCTCCACATTATGCCTCCTCACCCTCCTCATCATCTTCTGAGCTTCGCAACACTCTTTGCTTTTCTCTGCTGTGCCTAATGACTACAAGAGATTAAATACTCCCTCTTCCTCTTTTTCTCCCCATCCAGTCTCTTTCAGTCCAGCGTGGGTGTCTGGTATCTGTCAGAACCACTCTAAACAGCTCTAATCCTAATTGCACCAGTATCCAGTTTCACTGTTTTTCTCAGACAATCACTTAAAATGATTTTTCTAGATGCTGTTGTATCCGAAGACCAAAAGTGTACAAGAAATCTGTTAAATGCTTAAATATTTATTTAAAAAGTGAAGATTTCATCTTTGCTAGACAAAGTGGGATTATCACACCACACATACAGGAGTTAATTCTGCAATTTACTACAAATACAAACTTTGGGAGTCACCTAGTGGTTGAGAACTACTGGTACAGTTGTGACCAAGAAGTGACTTGATGGTCACTGACCAGAAAGACAAAAATAAAATGGCGAAGATGTTTTCTTCTTTTACTTGCTCAAATATGATTAATAGGAATAACAAAGGTCAAAGTCATATCTCACAGAAAGATGGGGTTCAGACATGGGAAGCAACAGGAAATATGTGGTTGTGAAACTGAAGCAAATCATAAAGAAAGTTGAAGGCAGAAGACAGGAAGGACAAGTATCTTTCTATTTAGTGTTTTAATATGTTTCTGTCAATAGTAGAAACAAAGAAACAAACAGTTAATGTCTACAATTAAAGGGTCATGGTATTTTAATTATAACCATCTAACCTTATCAACTTGTTTTCCTCGCTGGTTTGATTCTATAGGATATAGGATTTGATGAACCATGACAGCCTTTCACCTTCATCTTATGTATTCACAATTTGTTTAATCCTTGATGCAAAGATTATCCATCTATATAATTGTCATAATTCAGAAAGGACTAATTATCAAAAGACAATACACCTCTTGTTTGCAACAAATACCATCAAACTAGTTGTCTAGATGAGAGAAGATTTTCTTTATGTTGAAGGAGAAAATGATGAAAGAGCCACTGTCAGATTAGTTTAATGCTTTTCAAACCTGTCCATCATCTTGAGCACTTACAGGAGCAAGGCTAAGGAATGTGGAGGAAGGGGGTAACCCCTTCTGAGGCCTAGACACACATACAAGCACACAGTTGGATTCACACACTGACAATAACCAGAGAACACAATTTTCTGACCTTTGCGCAGAATAGTTCTGATAATTCTCAATATTTCTATTCTCTGTGAGTATTATTTTTTCTCACCATGAGCTCCACTTTGTAAGTGAATGTAAAATCTTTAAATATCAAGAATTTGTCCTGAAACCAAGAGGTTGAGGCAACACCCACTCTTCCCTTCTGATTGATGGTAACCTCACATGGCTCAGTTGGTCCATGTTGGCTTTTCTACACGTGCTTGTTTTAGCAATTTAAATTGGGCAGAAGGAAGTGCATCTAAAATGATTGAAGAACATGAATAAAACATTCAACAAAAGCCACAATATGTTTTTCTTTGAATAACCCATCTGGTATCATCTTCATGATAAGATCTGAGATGG